TCTTTGAATAATGATTCCTGTTTTGTAACCACAAAGTACTGTAAGCCTGCCAAAATGAAAAGTATATATGATCAACTTCACAAGTAAAGATTGGGATCAACACCTTCACTTTGGTGTCTGTGTTGTTTCTCCACCCCCTCTTTCGCCGACTCCTCACCATCCGTTTGTCTCCTGAGACCCCCTGTTGGAGCTGGTCTCCGACAAGGACACTCTAACCTGAGTGTCCTGGAGAGCTCATATTCCTCTGCACGCTGGGTAGAGGGGAGTCCTTCTTCTGGGGGAACCTTCTAACATGGGTTTCATGTGAATCTCCCACCGCACCCCTGGTAGTGGGGACCCCTCCATTCAGGGTGGAGTTTTGTATGGGTTTCATAAATTGACTTCCAGACCACTCACTTATACTCGAATCAAGCCTTTATGAAGCACACTAGTGGTGACTGACCAGAACATAAAGCTGTTCTCTTGATCAGCCCCGCACAATTGCAACTATGCTCCTTATAAGCCTGAAAACCGCAAAAGGGATATTCGTGGGTCTATCCAATACAAGCAAGCCAGGTTACAGAAGCCGGACAGTGCAGGCAAGCAGTGGGATGTCTAACCAATCACAGTTAGCCCAGTCACCCCAGTTACAGAAACAGAGCCCTCTTACCCTAGTTACAGGAACAATGCCCCATTAGGTAGTTCTGTGTTCTTAAAGGTTTCTATAGCAAAAGGAAAAGAACATCTTGCCCCAGTCATGCCCCTTCTACTTGGCATGGTTGTTTTACAGAATGTAGTCACAAAACAAAATGGAGTCACATTTGCTTTTATTATCACATTGTGTTGGCTACAATTTAGAAATGTGTGCATTTAAAATATCAATACATAGTGGCACATAGGTGATACTCATAAATAGAAAGGGGAAAAAAGATAAAAGTTTGATAATGCTCCATTTGTCAGTACTTTCAACAACTTTGGTCAACTTCCAGTTAAGGCCTATATTCTTCCTGACTCCCAAGTAAATACATGAGGGAGGAGAAGGGGTGGGGGTGCAAGTAAAAAGTAGTTATTAAGTCCTTCCCCCACCACCACCACCCAATACTGGGAATTGAACCCAGGGGTGCTTAACCACTAAGCCACATTCTTTTTTATATTTTATTTGGAGACAGTCTAGGTGAGTTGTTTAGGGCCTCCCCAAGTTGCTGAGGCTGGATTTGAACTTGCAATCCTCTTGCCTCAGCCTCCCAAGCTGCTGGGTTTACAGGTATGCCCACTGAAAGAAAAGTGACCACAACACTCAGAGTGACCAAGAGATCTTTATTGGAGCAATGCAAAAGAGGAGAAAGAGAGAGAGAGAAGAAAGAGAGAGCAAGAAAGAGCAAAAGCAAGAGAGAGGGGCCCGGCAGGAGGGAGTTTTTATAGACAAAATCTAATGGGGTCTCTGGATCTGCATGCTACCTTTTTGGCATACAATGATTGGATCATACAGTAGCTGCTAAGGGTGTCATCTTCTGCCTTCAGGCAGATGGGGCAGGGGTCAGATGTGGGTTTCGGTTGCACCAGATGGGTGGGAGTCAAGTGTTCAGCCTTGAGTGGTGTTGAGTGTTCAGACTTGAGTGGGGTTGAGTGTTCAGACTTGACACAAACAGGTGATAAAGGACCAGACAGAGGGGGTTTGAGTGCCCGGGCTATCCTGCAGCTAACGTTTGTTCAGCCTGTCCTGCAGACAACTTAGTTCAGCCTACCCTGCACCTAACACCCACCCTGCCTAGTTTAAGTCTTTAAATGTAGAGAATCCCATGAAATGACCTCCCCCACCCGGAGGGTGAAGGGCTATTTTTTCAACCAGTTACTCAGGAAGTTCTGGAGACACTGAGCCCTGAAGCAGTGTCCTACTTATTTAGAAATGAACCTATAGCATCTGCAGCAGGCTTGATAAGTGGCTCCAAGTAGAAACCCAGGGCAAGTTCCCATGTGTACCCGTTTCTCCTAGCAGCATCCCACAGGGTGTGCAGGGTTTGTAGTAAGATAAGAAGATGAAAGGCAACCTGGCCAGTTTGCCAGCACCTGGGATGGACTCTGATTAAACTCGTTTCTGTCTTCCTCATGAGCCACTCTTCCCTGTCTAGTGTTAGAAATTCAGGGGCAGAGAACAAAGCAGCCAGGTTTGTTTTTCCAGAGCAAGAGGAGTCTGGCGAAAAACAGCCCTGACAGCTGTGCCTGGGTCTTGGTGAAGGAAGAGCTTTCACGTGTTTCTTCCAAGACTGTTTAGTCTGCATGCTGAGGATTCATATATCAGTTTTGGGCTCCCGTGTCATTGGGGTAGTTCTGATTTCCATTGATTTCATCATCTTCTGTATTTGCCTACAATGAAAGAAGTAGAGCTGAGAACGGAGTTATTGCAGGGTCACTTAAAACTTGGCTTTCTTCATTCATTCTCACAGCATTGACAGCGATTCTTTAAAAAGGGGTGGGGTGCACTCCTAAGGCTGCAGTCCTTAATAAATAACACTTGGATCTGAATCCTCAACTCCTCTCCCGTTGGCTTTTGCAGAAATGGCAGTGCATTGAGGACACATCTGGGAAGCTTCGAATTCACAGTGTAAAGGGCCCAGTGACCTGCTCCTCGTCTGGCAGAGCATGTGGAACCTCTCGCAGCTTCCATGATAAGGACAAAGAGTGCAGTTGCAGGGAATCTGGTTACCGAGCCAGCAGAAGCCAGAGGAAGAGTCAGAGGCAGTTCCTGAGAAACCAGGGGACTCCAAGTAAGACAAAAGTTTATGACCACCGCAATGGCGGGCCACGTCCTTAGATAAAAGTTCCCCTTTCCACATTTCAGATATTATCAATGCACAATTCTCAGACCAAAAGAAAATCATTGTTCTGTTTAAAATAAGAAAGCTAATATTAAATTGAAATTTCACTCTCTAAATGTTCCCACATAAGCATAGAATGAAAATAGTTTTAGTAAAAACACCAAATGCAAGACTTATGTACAAATAAAAACTATAAAATGGTTATTCCAAAGGGTAAAGTATAAGGTTTAGATCCATTTTATTTTACTTTCATGCTAATGTCCTTATTTGTCTGCCTTAAGTTGCTTTAGACAATAATCCAAGGCATCAATGCATATGCATTTCAGAGGAAAAGCATAAATACCTTTTTTTAGGGCATATAGTTTAATCTGTTATGGGACAATATGTATATTTTTTATATTTTGTGAACTTATTGGATATTGTTAACTGGCAGGGTCAAATTAGTTGAATTCAGTGTGAAATGTACCACCTGGAATTCTGTTTATAAAAATTATCAGGCCACTTTGAGATACCTAACATTATATAAATATGAAACCTAGCAGGCCCACACTTTCAGTAGAAGAATGAGAGTCTGGCGCCATCTAGTGGAATAATGTGAAAAGTGGCTCACTTCTGTGGTGTTTTATATACTCCTTTGGAAATAAGAAACATTAATTCTGTAGCCAAGATCTGGAAATCCAGTCACTCATGMGAAAAATATATGCCCTTAAAATGGTGTTTTTACTTGGACGAGAGGTTTTAGGGTTATGAATCCTAGATCATTCATCCAAAATCACGAGTATATTCTTTATATATGTGCACATTTTTCTCATAGTCGATTAACTTTCAACAAATTCTTAAAAGAAAACACAACCCAAAAAGCTAAGAAGACTTTCCTTCTTCCTAAGGGAATATTCCAGTCTCAAATCATTCACATAATGCTATCAAATTCAAAATCAGAACTGGAGGTGTAGCTTAGTGGTAGTGCATTTTTTTGATAGATAGAAAGCCCCCCTCTTCCAATCCCCAGCACCAAAAAAAAAAAAAAAAAGAAGAGAAAGAAAGAAAAAGAAAGAAAAGAAATTAAAAACCAACAAGGGACAAGGTCTCCTGACACTCTCCTTGGGGAACAAAATTGAATCACAAAAGTTTATCTTAGAAGAACAAAAGTTTATCTTAGAAGCAGAGTCTTTCCTTCTCTTTAGAAAGTTAGAGATCACACAGATTTTTCCACATTTGGCACAAGATGTTTCAATTGCATGGACTATTGTGTGTTTGAGAGCAGAAGTAGTTTTTTTTTTTTTAATTTTTTCTACAATAGTAGAACTTGTGGGCATGCCCTGTCACCTGCTGTCATGGAGGCCCACCACTCAACTGAACAGGGCAAGGTCCTACAAGACTGTCTCAGAGCATAGAGATTCTAATTCCTCATCCAATCTGCCCCCTTCTTTTTATTTTAGCATCAGATTGGAGAGATAAGGCCAGAGGAGTGTACCCACAGAGTCTAAGTGCATCTGGTAAACAGGGGACAATGTTTGCACATTAAAGTTCTTAGCTGGCCTATGCCTTGACTTACCTTCCATTTGCCAGATATGGAAAGTCACTTGGCTGACACAAGCAAAATTTAATTATTTCTTAAACATATCTTTCCCTATTTGTGCAAATACAAGGTATCTAGAACATTCAACTTTTTWAAAAAGCAGCCCAAAGTAATAGTAAAACCGTAGCCTGAGAGGTTCTAGTCCTAACTCCCACTGCCTTGCAGAATGTATGTGATGGTCAAAGCTTCAGTTCTCTCATTCATAAAATAAGGATGATAACACCAAATCCATGAGCTTGTTTTGATAATCTTAATAAAGATTATAGATTCAAGATAAATAAAAAGTGTACAAAACATAGCAAAAGCTCAGTATATATTTGGGATGAGAGTAACTGGGAATTGAACCCAGAGGTACTTTACCACTAGATACAACACTATTCCTTTTTATTTTATTTTATTTTTTAATTTTGATTCAAGGTCTCTCTAAATTGCTGAGGCAGTCCTGAACTTCCAATCCTCTGCCTYAGCCTCCTGAGTCTCAGATTACAGGTGTGYGCCACCACACCCAGCTAAGGATTATGAATACCATAATTGGTAATATAGTTTTATCCAAACGTCTTAGTGGTTCATGTTGAGAACTAAGTGTAAAAGTGCACAACCTGCCATCAGTGGAAAGGACCTTGGAGATCACCTAGATTCGTCCCCTCAGTTGAGATTCCCATGAGATGACCATGAGGTGGCACTGTCAGAACAAGAGCCCCACTCTCCGAGATGAATCCCAGAGCCCTGCCATGCCCCAGAGCAGAGCAGCCTGTACTGCTTGTCCCTCTCCAAGGCCCTCACTGTGCCGGTGATCATTTTCTTCCTTCCTAAACTGCATCAGATCATCCATATTAACCTCACTTCCCTCAATCGAAGAGTACAAGCCCCGATTTGTCCATACCTGGCAGACACGCTCCTTGTCTGTTGAATTTGAAGGAGAAATATGACATAAATCTGTAAGAGGAAGAATTGCAAGTGTTGCAGCCAAGGAGCATTGCCAAGCATCACGACGAAGACCACAGGGGTTTGGGAGGTCGCCAGGCTGCCGGTGGTGGCAACGGGGATGAGCTGCTGGCAGACAGCAGCAATGCCGTGGACCTACCAACCACCGTCTGTGTGACACACAAGTAAGAAGGTTTAGGTGTTCTCTAGGTTTCAGATCAAAGTGGCTCCCTGCCCCCAGATCATTACCGCTAGCAATTTGGAAAAGGTATCAACTTGGCTTTGGAGAGGCGGGCCAAGGCCTGGTCTCCAGGACACCTGGGGGTTAAGGAAGCCACAAGGGGTGTGCTTTGTGTTCAATTTCTCATTAACAATAATCAACTGGGAATCCAGCCAGGGTGATTCTGTCACATCTTGACTTAGCAGGCCTGGGGTTCCTGCCCCTAAGCACTTACCCTTTAGTAGGCAGCAAGAAGCAGATGGAAACGGTTATAGGAGCTGGTAGAGGCTCTTCCACATGCATGGTCACTGTCCCTTACAGCATTGCACAGTCATGACCTCAGAAACAAAACACAGGGGTCACAAAGAAGCTCTAGAAAACTGGTGTCCTTTGGGGATGAGTGTAAGTTGCAGAAAACGCCTGACCTGACTCAGATCGTGAGAACAGGGAGATCCTTGAAGTCTAGCAGACAGGAAAGCGAAATGAATCTCCTGTGGCTTTCAAGGACTCACGTGGTCTTTGGTTCCTCCCCAGATCAACTTACTCTCTTGATAAAGAAATGTTTTCTTTCCGACATGATTAGCAAGACATATGTTTTTTTTTCCTAATGTCATCACTTTGGGAACATGGGGTACTGTGAGTTCTGCCACGGTTTTTATGTCTGGGACTGGTCTCCAGGCACTCCTAGTTGTTAGAATTACACACTAAGAGATTTAGGCCAGGGTTTGTTTCTCTGATAGCAGAGATTGACCCATATCCCACCTACTTTCTCTCTGTCTCCCTAACACTTTTTCTTTGCTCAAAGTTAATGGAGGAACAAGGGGTCCCCAGTACTGGGGGTGGGGGGAAGAAAACTTGACAGAGTATTTAAGACAAGCTCTTTTTTTAGCCAAATGAATGAAACAGAATGATTATTCCCATTTTAATTCTGCATTTCTTCAAATAAGCCATCTGCATTATGGTTGTGGATACCTCCTTTACTTTTCTACGTGTATTTGCTCAGGTTTTCAAAGCTTGAATTTAGGGTGGAAACAATTCATGGTTCATAATGCAAGCTGCCTCCCCAGGTGATCTCAAGGATGATCTCAGTCACAGAGAGGAGACACTCTCCTTTGCCGGAGCAGTAGCTTGTCTAGGGATCAGCTCCAATCTCACTGCTTCTACCTACTAGTAAAGGGTTTTGAGGATAATAAGTTCTCTTTGCTATCTATCTCTTGTGTTTTTTAATAATGGAATATGAACTTATTTCTCATGTCTTTATTTTTGTTTTTGTTATTGGATTTTGCAGGTGTTTTATTCTTCCAAATGATACAATCCATTGTGAGAGAGAACTGTATCAGTCAGCCAAAGCCTGGAAGGATCATAAGGCATACATTGATAAAGAGGTTAGCATGATGTCCTTGTAAGGTTATTCCAAGTCCAGACCATGCATGGTGGTGCACACCTGTAATCTCAGCAACTCTCGAGGCTGAGGCAGGAATATCACCAATTCAAGACTAGCCTGGGCAACATAAAGAGACTATCTCAAAATGTAAAAATTTAAAAGAAGATCTGGAGATATAGCTCAGTGGTCAAGCACCCCTGAGTTCTATCCCCTTACCAGAAAAGTAAATAAAATATATACAGATTCAGTTTGCCAGAATCTGGCAGGATGGGACTGCTGAGAGCCATAGCCAAGTAGGACGCATGGCATTTTTGGTTGAAAGGTGATGCCAGCAAGCCATTGAGATGATATGATTATGTTAAGATCTGCATTCAATTGGATATTAGACCCCTGCTGTCCGCCTCGGCCTGCTACTTTGGAGCTCTAGCGGGGAATCCCAGAGAGTTCCCTTTGCTTGGGGGAAACGCAGTAGGAGGGATTTCCGGAGGAGGGATTTTCCTGTTGGTGTAGTGTGGCCCGGGAGAAAGCCGCGTGTGTGGTTCGGCATATTTCCCGGGAGCGTGCGTGGCATTGGCGGGAGTTTCAGAAATAAAGTTTGTTCCTGCTTGAGTGGCTCGTGTTTTTGTGCCCAGCCAGACTGCGGCATGGGACATAACCACTGTATGCATCACCTTTTAAAAAATTGAATAGAAAACTGGTCAAAGTATTTATCATTCTCCTGTGGTTTAGGGATAGTCCTGCTGAACACAAAACAGGGGGTGAGAAGAGAATGTGATTAGCTCAATGATATTTTGACCATCTGTGTAGGGCACGTCACATCAGAGGAATAGAAACCTATGATGGAGAAAAGGAAACCTAACTTGCAGACTGATGCTCACTTCCTGGTCTTGGGGCCGCACATGGCTAAGATGGTGCCTGGCGATCAGCCAGAAGGCATTACTATGGGTTATGATGAAACATCGGACCACCTCTAGGAGAGGCTCAGAACCCTTCCACCCTCGTGGACAGCTTGTGTCTCCCCTTACTTCCTGTAGAATGAGTGTGCACATGAACTCTCCTCACCCTGCTGACCTTTACCCTAATTGGCTCCTGTGCCTTATATTAGTTGTGTGTGCTTCCTCAATAAAAGAGCTCCAGCCTTGACTGGTCTCCCTGACACATCTGATTGTCCTCCAGGGAGGGAGGGTTGAGTGTGGGCGGTCAGTCGGGTCCTCTCCTTTCTTGTCTGGTCCTGGCCGGGGCACGTTCTCCCTATCTCTTCTGCAGGTCAGGAGAAAACGAGGACTAAAAACCCCCCCGACAYATCTGTTCAACAAAAGGATTCAGTTGTAAAAGCAGCACCTGTTAATGTTTATCCAATACACTTCAGCTAGAATACAGAGATAGATGTATTCTATGCCTTGTTTGTTTTTAAATTAATTGCCATCTTGAATAGTTATAATTAAGGAACACAGTAAACAGAGTGAAAAGAAAAAGTATTTTATAAAGAAAATCCTGAGGTTGCCAGGCACGGTTGCACATGTCTGCAAGAGGCTAAGGTGGGAAGATAATAAGTTCAAAGCCAGCCTCAGCAACTTAGCGAGATCCTGTCTCTAAACAAAAAATAAAAAGGGCAGGGGATATGGCTCATTGGTTAAGCACCCCTGAGTTCAAACCCTGGTACAAAAGAGGGGGGGGGGAGAAAGATCCTGATGTTAAAATGTAATGATTTGAGTACATGTTTTCCAGATTGAAGTTCTGCAAGATAAAATTAAGAATTTGAGAGAAGTGAGGGGACACTAAAGAGAAGAAAGCCTGAGGAATGTAGCTGCAGTAAGCAGAGGTGAGCATGTACCCATCTCTCAGTCTGCTTTCTGTACCCATTTTTACACAGCTAGAGTGGTAAGCACGAGGCTCATTTCTCTTTTCCCAACACCAAGCTTCATATGAATGCATTAACATAGTATTATGACCTCACCTATTTAAGTCAAGTATGCCATGAATTTTAAGCAAAAGATTTTTTTAAAGTCCTAATAAGCCACAATAGTGACAACAGAGTAACTGCCTGCCGACTATGTTGCTTCTTTTTTTAAAAAAAAAAATGAACTCTTTGATGAAATGCAAGGTTATGAAGACTCATTTTGTAACCCTCTGGCCTGCAGCTATTACAATAAAGAAAAAGATGTAAAAAGAGCCATCTTCACCCCTTCAAGTAAGTGACTCCTTTTTCCATGTTTGCTGGGAGTTGAGAACCATCCACTGGCCCCTTGAAAAATAGCAAGGGATCCTGAGGTTTCAAATGGTGCTATTTTGGCAGAGATAGATCCACGTAGATCCCTGACACATAGTTCAAGCCTCACCAAGGGACCATGAAAGGCTTCTGTAATCCTTTGAAGGACAGCCATGCGGAGCTTCCCCTGTAACCAGAGTGCATGCACACTCTGCTCCTCTAGGAGACTAGGAATGGTTTTTTTCTGCATACACTGCCATCTGTGGAAAGTGGTTAAGAGTTACAGACCCTCTTAATTAGGTCAGTGTGTTTAAAGAGCAGCCTGTTATAGCGTTGAATTCTGAAACTGCAAAGAAATACATGGATATTTAAAAATAATCCAGAATTTGCACATAAAAGAGATTTAGCATTTGAACTGCAATGAAGTTTAATCCTTGTGTGGGAAAAGCAATAAATAGCTGGGCATGGTGGTGTACGCTTGTAATCCAGTGGCTCAGGAGGCTGACTGAGCAGGAGATTCTCAAGTTTAAAGCCAGACTCTTAGGCCTCAGAGGCCCTAAGCAACTCAGTGAGACCCTGTCTCTAGGAAAAAAAAAGAAGAAGAAGAAGGCTGAGGATGTGGTTCAGTGGTTAAGCACCCCTGGGTTCAATCCTGGTACCAAAAAAAAAAAAAAAAAAAAAGCAAGATAATAAAGATTTTTTTAATCAGCTTTCCAAACCTATTTTAAAAACTGTCTAATGTAAGCCATCTGGTTCAACTAACCATTGATTCTATTGGTACTGAGCTACCAGAAATTTAAGCCCCTTGTCCAAAGGGTGTGGCTAGCAGGATCCATTGATTTAACTTGACATTTATCTCAATTGATGCTTACATGTAAATAAGAAAAAAAGTGTTAATGCTATTAAGGTTTAATAAGTTCTAAGCCCATTCTCACTTATTGAGTTTGCCCTCACTATTGCTGATTATATTTTGAAGTTCTCTGTAAAAAGTAAAGGTCATCTATTATTGTATGTATCTAAATGTTGGTGCAAGACTCACAACAACAATCCTATTTTTCATCAAGAAAGTACCTTTTCATCATTTAAAAAAATCCCTTMTATTGGAACAGGGAGGCTATTCAAGAAGTTGACAGCAAACTGCAACTTTTCAAGGAGAATTGTGGTAGGAAGAAGGAGAGGAAGGAGAAGAAATGCCAGAGGAAGGGGGAGGAGTGCAGTCTACCTGGCCTCACCTGCTTCACCCACGACAACAACCACTGGCAGACGGCCCCTTTCTGGAACTGTAAGTTGCTCCTTCTAAATGCCGCTTCCCGCTACCCTGCAGAGAAAGGGTATGGCCCATACCATAGTTACTTAATCTAGGGATTCAGCAGCACAGTTCCAAGAATCCAGGGAGATTCAAGAGGAAAGCATCACATTATATTTTATACTCGAATTATTTTTTTTAAAAAAACCCCCAGATTTTTATCTTTAGAAAAATTTTTGGCATTTTTTGCCTGATGCATTGTAGTTTCACATAGTGGTGGGATTTGTTTTACATATTCATACATGCCCCCAGTGGTATTTTTTTTTAATATCAAGCTTCTCTCAGGGTTCTTCTTCCTGATGATGTTTCACAGAGTAGCCAGCACCTGGCAGAGTTACTACCCCGTAAGACTGCTCTATAAGTAAATAACAATGAATGCAGGGACAATTTCACCCCCAAAATTTTGTTTCTACTTTATTTCACATGCATACTGCAAGTGTAACATAGGAAAATAAAAGAGCGGTGAGGGTGCCTTAAACTCTGAGCCAATACCCACTTCATCTCATCCTACTTCAGTGTCAGCATCCTTCTTGTAAAATAGTAAAGGTATATAGTAAAGGGTGTGGCTAGCAGGATCCATTGATTTAACTTGACATTTATCTCAACTTGATGCTTACATGTAAATAAGAAAAAAGGTGTTGATGGTATTAAGGTTTAATAAGTTCTGAGTCTGTTCTCACTTATTGAGTTTGCCCTCACTATTGCTGATAAAATTATTTGGCTTTGCATTGATTCCTTAGGATACAGGATTATCGTGCACTTTTTAAATTAACGTTTTTATTTTCTTTAATGATCTATGCACAATATTTACMTAGGACATGTAGAAATAATACCTTAGAATTTTTGGTATGTTCTCCCAATTGAAGACTTGCCAGCCCATGGAGTAGATAAAAGCTCCCATCTTCCGATTGAGATGATCTCTGGAGTCCAGTGAGGCCTGTTTCTCAAACTGGGATTTGGAAATCCCAAGGAATCCACAACCATCCTTGAGAGGGTTGAAGTGCTAGACAGCAGGATTTTTGTTTTATCATTTTGTTTTGATGTTTCTCGAATTGCATTTACATGTTTGCATTTACATTCACATTCACATCAAGACCAGATGACTCTTAAAGTTATTGCATTTATCTTAGATAGAGTTACTAAAATGGAGCTGGAGACTCTCTGAGGATTATTCATATTGCTGAGGGTCTGTTCTCTGCCCGGCTCTGAGATAGATATCAACAATACAATAACAAACAGGACACCTTGTTCTGTACCTTCTTAACACATTCCAGTGGGGGAGAGGGAGAGTAAAGAAAGTAAATGAAATAAATAAACTAATTACAAGTTGTAATCATGTGATATGGGGAATTGATCAAAAATTTTAAGGGGACTCAGGGTGGGGATGATGGGTATGTTGGTCACCTTTTCATTGCTATGACAAAATTCCTGAGATAATCAACTTTTAAAAGGAAAGGTTTATTTTGAATCACACTTTGGGAGGTTTCAGTCCTGAGCTGGCCTCTGTGGTTTGGGGCCTATGGAAAGACAAGTCGTCATAGTGGGAGCACATTGTGGAAGAAGCTGCTTGCCTTACTGCAGCCAGGAAGCAAAGAGAGAAAAAGGAAGGGGCCAGGGTCCCAGTCCTCTTCAAGGGTTTCAATGTCCCCAATGACAAAAGACCTCCCAGCTGCCCCCACTCTCAAAGTTTCATCACCTCCCAATAATGCCCGTCTGGGGAAGGAGCATTTAATCCTTGAGCCTTTGGGAAACATCCCAGATCCAAGCTGCAGCAGTGGGGTGACACTGGAGCTGAAACCTAAAGAGTGGAGAAAAGTCACCCCAATGGAAGGGAGCCACAT